AATAATTGCTCTGGTTAGTACAAAAAACCAAGACGAGATATACTCTTACAGCTAATATATAAGGACATTAATAACCTACACACAAAATTATCGATGTATGTATTTACTTAACAATTTACACATTATAGCATTTTACCTCTCCGCAGCTAATTACGACGCAGGCAACCATCGAATCCTTGCCAAAAAAACACCAGCAAGTAAAGGATGTGAGACTGACAAATCTGATCAAGAACCTGTTGGCAAACATGCAGGCGGTTTCTCGTGGATCTTAATGGTAACTGCAGCAGATGGCATAGACAGAAGAATGGCCTTAATTCCACAATAAAGCATCCTGACTCCTCTGCTAGTCTAACAACTTACTACACTGCAAACCATGCATCTACGTGCCAATCCCTGGAAAACACAAGTAAGTGTCTTCTATCTAAAGAACATGGATGCATGTCAATCCCCAACTGAAAGTCTTCACTGTGAGGTGGTGGCAGCTCCACTTGCATCATGAGGATGGATTCTGTAAAGTGAAAAAAAAGTTTAGTACAAGCACCTCTGCATGTATCACTGTCACTGTAAAGTTTCGTTTCACTTCATTTCACTTGATCTGTTACTTTATATATATATATATGGCTTTCACAACTCATTATAATTATTCTGATATGCTAGTCTAAGAACCATGTTAATTATGCAATTGAAGACTATACAAAATGGCAATGTGGAATACTCGTTATATGCTTTTTCAATGTTCTCAAACAATCACTGACAAAAGCTTACATATCTGCAGCATCTGAGACGGTAGCATCATGAGGATGGATTCTGTAAAGTGAAAAAAAGAGTCCATTTATGTATCACTGCCTCTGTAATCTCTCATTTTACATCATTTGAGTTGGGCATGTCCATATATATATTATAACCACTGTAAATATTCATATTACCAAATAAAGTGATAAAAACACATTTTCATTTGTGCTGCTTACACAAACTTGATTTTCTCGGATTCAACCAAGATTCTCTCCAAGCATCTATGGCCATAGTTGCTTGGTCTCTTAAGGAACACCCCAGGTGGTAGTCCTTTGCAACTGATGACTCCAGCATCGACCAACTTGTATGGCAGCCTTGCCATAGGTTTTCCGCTATCATGAGCTATAACATATACGCACAATTAACTGTATAGAAAGCTATTACTCCATAAGTTTATTATTTTTTAAACATGCTAGCTTTTAATAGACTTTGTAAATAAACTGCAGTGTCCACTTACTCTGAAAACTCTGTTATGTACCATAATTGTAAGCTCTGTTATGTACAACTCTGACTGCATAAATTCTCTTTCACTTAAAATATTTGTTTGTACATGAACAACAAATACTAGAGCCCAACTTTAAAGTTACATATTGTAGTGTTTAACCCTTAGGTCAGCTAAAACGTAAACTAACCGTTCCACAAACATAAACAAAAAGTAGAACAGAAACGTATTACATATATACACTGTGAGCAGATTGCCGGGGTTTTATGAATAAAGCATCATTGTGGTTAGAACCAATTTCATTGCCTGAATATTAATGTGGTATAATCCGGTAGTAAAGACTACACATATATATACTTACAGTATTTGTCGTTAAACAACGTCTGCACATTTTTGCGTAGCAGAGCAGTGTTTCTTGTAGTTTTTTGTAATTCTGATTCCGCTGTTAATTGATGTTCCGATCCTACAAAATAAGATATATAATGCATAATAATGGCACCCACTGGATGGTAATATATACTTGACACAATCAAATTCACAAAAAATTTATAAAATAATGTTTTCAACCCAGCAAACAGGTATCTTCTTTTAACCTTTAGATTTAAATGGATACATTTCTCTAGGTTCTTCAGATATTTTCATCTAAGATAGAATAAAATTATGCTTCGTAAAAAGTTTTATGGTTCAATATTTATTAGAAATATTTTTTTAAACGTTTAAAAACTGACGGCTATATCGTTGCTTACAACGACGGTGGCGCCACTGGCACCCACTGAATGAGTTGCGCAAAGCAACGCTTCGGCTGCAGGCTACAGACCGAGGGTGTTTCTTATTTATTAATTTAAGAGCAGATAGATTGCAATATCTTATAAACGACATATAGTTTCAGTTATAATATGGATAAATATGTCCTAAAATTAACATCGTTCGATTAAAAAGGTGCCATGCAGTTACTGTAGCATTCGTTAAAATTGCATAATCAATGGTCATCTTATACCTTTAAGTAGCATTTTCAGGTAGAAATATAATTGCACTTTTGTGATTAGCCCTCGGTCTGTAATGTGCAAAATGAATTGTCAAATGCGCAACTTTTTCAGGGTGGCAGCACGATCTTGGGTGTCATGTCGATCAGCGCCCCAAAATAACAATTTCAAAATTTAATGTTGTTTTATTATGACAAACGTGAATGCGTAATTATATATAGTTATAGGTATGCATGTGCTATTATTTATAAATCTACTATTATAATATACTCTCAAATTCTAGAGGAAAGTATCCCTTTAAGGTCGTCTGCAAATCTTTAATTAACAATTCGTTACTATAGTTTATACAAGCAACTCATTATTAACAATGCTTGAGCTAATGATTCCTATGTTTACCTAGATGCAAACATATCTCCTGGACGAAGAGTGGATGGTCTTCTAAATAAGTCAGGCCCTTCCTGGACGAACACAGAAAGGGTGCTTCCCGTTTCTCGAGCTGTGTGCCGATCACAATCGTCTCAGCACCCAGGCATTCTAACTCCTTCATCTGTGAATATGGGAAACATAGATTTACGTACACTTTCAGAAACATAACTAGAAAGGGCAGTTGTCGCCAACTACATGTATCCCCCGTGATCTAGTATGAATGAAATATCTCTGTAAGGACGTAGAATGTAGGTAAAGTTAAATAAGTCACAAATTTAAAGGTTTGTTATACAAATCATCTGCCTGAGATGTGCAAGTATGTTAAAATTGGTTGCCTTAGGGGTTTTGGTATGCGACACACCTCCACAAGATGTGTAAGTATACAAAGCTTGGTCGCGCTAGGTCAACTAGGGGCCGAGTTATAGAGAGGAAGGGAAATATGATCAAGGTTAAGGTAAAGGTCAAATAAAGGTCGCAGTAACCTGGTTTTGGTACGCTGCGCACCTTCTCCCCAAGATGTGTAAGTATATCAAGTTTGGTAGCGCTAGGTCATTAGGGGTCGAGTTATAGAGCGGAAGGGGAATTCTCTGCGGCGGACCGAGCGGCTGGACAGACATGAAACCATATAGTATCCCCCTCGACTTCGTGGCGAGGATGCAATAATGTACAGATATGAGTAACTATATATACCAGTACCATGATCGGTAATGATTGTAATTAATATGTTCACTTACTCCAATGCCAGACAATTCCAAAATTTACCACCATATATCGATATCTCATATATATATATATATGATATCTATTCATGAGCATATGCATCCTTCATGACCTTCAGCGCTTGGCAACACCGCATGGCAACAATTAAGAGACGTACGCGTCACAACATCGCCGCAGAGTGGCAAAAATGAACTCTGTTTGAAACATTCGACCCAACACTTTCACTTTGTAGTCTATAAGCTTCGAATGAACGTATTCCTGGGTATTTTATTTTACCCATCACACATATATAGGCAGGCATGCACATACAAACGTGCAATATATGTTAAAATAATTATTTTTTGCCTGATTCTATGTTTGCCGCTTGAAGTTTCGAGGGGAGGCACCTTTATGGTTACTGTGCAGGTTTTCTACGAAATTTCATCGACTTTTCATTTGTATTCTTATACGAGCGCTAACACAAGAGGCCACCTCTGTATACACGCTCATTTCGCTATTACTATTATACGGATCAATGCACGTGAACTTTCAGAGCATTCTCATTGTCCACCCATCTGTGCAATGGCCAGCAGCTATATTTAAATACACATATATTGGTGATGTCTGAGACACAATCCAGCGTAGCCAGTTATATACTAACCCCAACCATTCGTTCTTTTGCTGCGCGGTCGAACATTAATAGCATTTCTCGTTATACGCCAACTTTGTTGACACGCAGATTAGTGACCGCAGTCATGTGTGTCATGCAGTGGCCGGTGTTCGCACGTTTCGGATCAAATTGCGTGTGGTAACCTTATTTCTTACAATTTTTTAATTGCATGGAACATTTGACCAATTTAGAGGTTTTAGTTAGTCAGTGATATGTCACCACAGTATAAGTACTAACACGAGATGTTTCACATACGTTCACCCATTTCGCACTGGCGGTCGATCATTGTGAAAAATAGAAAAACACTGCTATAATATATAAGTTATATAACACACAAAATATAAAATGTGTTTGAATATCTACTCAATGTATGTTCATGTTTACTTACAGTTTTGTACATCTGTCCATGTAACTGCTTAACTTTAGCAGCCTTTTCCTCATAAGACAGACTTGCTAGGTCTGTCTGCCGTGCCATCGCTGCTTCATTAAATTGAGCTCTCTCGCTCTGTGGCAAGTTTTGCCATTTTTGCCCCCATTCCTGGAATGACTGCTTTCCATCTGAAACAAAAAATATATAGTTACATTTCAAAATAGAATTGCAGTTGGAATTGCCAGCTATAGCTACCTATTAGTGGCATTCAATTCATGCCAGTACTGTTGTGTATCCTTTTTCAATAACACATTTCATTGTATGGTAGGATAAAAAAAATATCCTAACAATATATGACTTTAACGATGCCTTCTTCGCAATCGGCTGGACACTTCGGCACAGCATATTGCTACATGAAAAATACTCATTGAATTTGTTGTCCCGAACGTTTCAGTTTGAAGCCAAAAAACTAAATAAACATGATCCAGAGCATATTTTATATCTGTCACAGTGCACCATTGTAAATACGCATGAATTTCATACAAATACGCATGTAATTTTCAAAGGTATGCGTATAGATACGCTTGTGTTTTAATAAATACGTACATGAGTTAAAACAAACAGATCGTATCAGTACGCTAACCTTCCATCTACTCCCGTATCGGCTCGGCTCTAAATCACATTGATTTAGAATATAAGAAATTGCACTTAATCTGCGTAACCTGAAGCTCTTATCCGCGCAATCGGAGACAGCAATGCGTCTGGATAGGAAAAGGGGCATACTAGCGCCGCCGCGCACGAGCGGTTAGCGTCTATTTTCCGTACCGCCAAATGCGCAAACGTCCTACACGGGTTTCCTCTGATTGGCTGCTTTGATTTGCTTTGACGCAACAAACCTTCAAACAAGAGAACAAACGCCCCATTTGTAAATATGTGTTTTTGTTCATCATCAGTAGATAAGTAAGTTTTCTGATGTATTTCTATGAAAAACACACCATTTTACTCTCATTAATATAAAATATAATATCACTATAATTAACAATTCGTGTGTAACTGTGTTATTTTCATCTTAATCTCAAGTTATGAGAGGGTTTGGGCTCTCGTAACACTTACTACATACGTACGTATGCGTACTCGCGCAGCTGAAGGGGTCGTGTCGTATCAGGTACTACAAGATATGTACCCGAGGTACGAATATCAGGATTTGTGCATTATGGTTTGTCATTATCAGGTTTATGCATTATCAGGTTTGTCAGTTATTATGCTCCTGCGTATATGATTGTATACACGAATTGTGTACCAGACCTGTATCTTCTCAGCATATATGCAGCGCTGTGTTTACATATCGTACCTGCCCCCTGAGATGGAGATCGAATGAAGACGGTCATGTAGGAGGAGTAGGGGCAGGAGGAGGAGAGGAGGAGGAGGAGAGAGGAGGAGGAGGAGGGAAGAAGGCGATGGAGATAGGGGAGGAGGAGGGAGGGAGGAGGAGAGGAGTGGAGGAGGGGGAGGTGAGGAAGAGGGAGGGGAGGAGGAGGAGGAGGAGAGAAGGTGATGGAGTAAGGGAGGAGGAAGAAGGGAGGAGGAGGGGGGAGGTGGATGGAGTAGGGTGATATGGAGGAGGGCGAAGAATAGGGAGGAGGAGGGGAGGAGTAGGGGGGGTAGAGGAAGGAGGGGAATGGAGTAGGGGGAGCGGAGAGGTGGGGAGGCAGAAAGGAGGAGGAGAAGTTAATGGAGATCCGAAGGGGGTGGCGAAGAAATGTCATGAGAGGAGGGGGGCGCGGAGGAGGACAGGAGGAGGAGGAGGAGGAGATGAAAAGGTGATGGAGTAGGTGGGAGGAGGAAGGGGGGGAGGAGGAGGAGGAGAAGGTGATGGAGGAGGGAGGAGGAGGCAGGGAGCGGGATCAGGTGATGAGGAGGAGGAGTAGCCGGGCAGGAGGAAGGAAGGAGGAGGAGGGGGAGACGGTGTGGGTAGGAGGGGAGGAGAGGGAGGAGGAGATTAGGAGGGCAGGAGGCAGGAGAGGAGAGAGGGGAGATAGGGTTGGAGTAGGTGGAAGGAGAGGAGGGGAGTGAGGAGGAGAGGAGGAGGAGAGAGGGGGAGAGGTGATGGAGAGCAGTAGGGGGCAGGAGTAGGGGGCGGAGGAGAAGGGGGACGGAGGAGGAGGAGGACGGAGGAGGAGGATGAGGAGAGGAGGAGAGGGGAGACGTTGATAGATGACAGAGTGAGAAGGTGATCACCTACTCCGGCTCCAACTCATCACCTTCGTCCCCTCCTCCTTCACTTCTCCTCCTCACTTTCGCTGACTCTCTGCCCCGCGCTCCCTCCCTACCATCTCCTTCTCTCCTCCTCCTCCTCCGCCTGCCTGCCCTGGCCCTCCTGCTATGAACTTCTTGAATTGATCTCCATCACCTTCTCCCGCTCCTCCTCCTCCCTCTCTCCCCTCCTCCTCCTCCTCCCTCCCCCTCTCTCCGCTCTTCCTCCTCCTCCCCTCGCCCTCTGCCTCCCTCCTCAGTACCTTCCTTTATTCGATCTCGCATCAACTCTCATTCCGCCCTCCTCCTCCTCTCCTGCCCCTCTCTCCCCCGCTCACTCCTCTTTCCCCTGCCCCTCTTCCTCCTCTCCTACCGTACTCCATCCTCTCTCCTCCTCCTTCTTTTCCTCCTCCTCCTCCCTCTCCTCTCCTCTCCTCTTCCACGTTACATCCACAACGCTCTCCCCTCCTCCGCCCTCCTACCCATTCCTCATCACTCTGCCCTCTCTCTCCTTCTCCCTCCTCCTCCCTCCCCCTCGCGAACCTTTTCCAGGACCCTCCCCCCCTGCCTCCTCCTCCTCCTTCCCCCCCTCCATGCCTGCCCTCCTCCTCTCCTCCATCCTCCTCCTGCCTCCTCCTCTTCCCTCCTCCTCCTTCTTCTTCCTCCTCTCCCTCCTCCCTCCCTCCTCCTCCTCCTCCCTCCTCCTCCTCACCCTCCTCCTCCTCCCCTACTTCCATCAACGCTCTCTCATCCTCGCTCCTCCTCCTCCTTTCCTGCCCCTCCTTCCTTCACTGCTATGACCTTCGATTCGGTTCGATCTCCCATCGACCTTCTCGCTCTCCCCCCCCCCTCCTCCTCTCCTCTTCCTCCTCCTCCTCCTCCCTCCTCCCCTCTCCTCCTCCTCCCCCCTCCATCACCTTCCCCCTCTTCCTCCTCCTCCTCCTCTCTCCTCTCTTCCCTACTCTCACCTTCTCCATCGACCTCTCTCTGCACTCCTGCCTCCTCTCTCTCCACTTCCATCGCCTTCTTCCCTCTCCTCCTCCTCCTCTCCCTCCCCCTCCTCCTCCTCCTGCCCCTTACTCCTCCCTCCATGGACCGTCTTTATTCCGTCTCCATCTCAGGGGCAGGTACGTTTATGTAAACACAGTTGGTACATATATGCTGAGCAAGATACAGGTCTGGTAACACTTGTGTATTCTATATACGCTACCTCGGGTCATATCTGTAGTGACCTGCTACGACAACGACCCCTCGCTGCTATAGCCGAGTACGCATACTACGTATGTAGTAAGTGTTACTAAAGCCCAAACCCTCTCATACACTTGAGATTAAGCAGAAACTAACACAGTTACAACACAGAATTGTATTATAGTGAACTTATTTTTATATTAATGAGTAAAATGTGTGTTTTCCATAGAAAATACATCAGAAAACT